CTTTTTGACCATTTGTTTTGTTAGGAGGATGATTCGTTGCTCAGAACATCTTCTCTCACCAGAAGTGAAGTTTAAAATCCCCTACAGTGAGTCATTAGCAATCGAAAATCCCGTACGCAGAACATAGATTGGCGCGCACAGACTACCGTCTTCCCCCGAACATAACGCACCCTGAAAATGAACGTATGCAACGCATGTTTCCGGCCCGATACAGTCAAAATGAGGGTGCGTTGTGTTCGGGGGAAGACGGTAGTAGCAAGTCGATCCCTGCATTCATTCTATTCGCTGGGCAAGTCAATCACTGCCCAAGACTCCAAATTTGAATCCCAAAAACACCCTAAAAAAATGGGAAATACATGCAGGAAATGTGATGGCGATCATAGCGCTCCAGTCTTTTTTTTTACCTCATTAGAGATTCCCTCATCAAGGCGCGTGCGGAATCTTTTTCTGCCCCATTTTCTCTAGCTTAATCATTTGTCTCTACTCGCTCTACCTTTTTAGATATCATTCGCTCTCTCCTCTCACTATTGGCATGATCATTCTCCTCGCACGACTCGCGCGATCATTCTCCTCTCATGAAGATTTGCAGTCGTTAGGTTTATCACTCACTCTGTGCTCTGTGAGTGTATGGTTGCTGCTTTAGCAGTAGCTTGCTTCTTCTATAGCTCCTACAAGTAACAAGCGTGCTCCGATGGGTGATATAATAATTCTCCTGATACTAGATTTGAAATCCTTTGATTATATCCACATTAAGCTCACATACTTGTCAAATCATTTTCCTCTCAAGCCTCACACACGATCATTCTCCTCTCACCACCCGCACGGTCGTTCTCCTCTTGAACGACCGACTCGCACGGTCGTTCTCCTCTTGAACGACCGACTCGCACTGTCGTTCTCCTCTTGAACGACCGACTCGCACGGTCGTTCTCCTCTTGAACGACCGACTCGCACGATCATTCTCCTCTTGAACGACCGACTCGCACGATCATTCTCCTCTTGAACGACCGACTCGCACGGTCGTTCTCCTGTCCTGACTCCCGTGATCGTACTCGAAGGATCATTCATTCTCCTCGGCTTGCATACGTTATCCTCCTCCTCGGAGTTGAGGCAAATATCATTCTCCTCTCCGTTCGCCGCTGCACCCACGTGGCGGAAAAGTTGGATGCATGCATTCACATGAATGCACGAGGGAAACTGAACATGTACATCTCATGAAGTCGTGATGATGTGAAAAATTTCATTTAAAAAAACTTGAAAACGGTTGAAGCAGCTAAATTTGTACCTTTTCCTTGTCTTTTTCTTGTTGACTTACTGCAGAAGAAAAAAATGTCCATACATGTGAAAAATTTCATTAAAAAAACTTGGAAACTGTTGAAGCAGCTACATTGTACCTTTTTCTTGTCTTTTTCTTGTTGACTTACTGCAGAAGAAAAAATGTCCATACATGTGAAAAAATTCATGAAAAAAACTTGAGAAACTGTTGAAGCAGCTACATTGTACCTTTTTCTTGTCTTTTTCTTGTTGACTTACTGCA